GCGTGCGTCTAGCCAACGGCCTTTTCCGGCTATGACGGCTATGAGAACGTACACCGGCGCCGATGTAACTGGAACAGCCTGGAAGTGGCTGGAATCATCCGAAGTCCAAAGCGAGCGAAGAGCGAGAGGGTCGTAGAGTTGGTAATTGGCAATATGAGTGGCTGGATCCTGCAGGATGTCGGGTCAGTCGCGCGCCCCTGGGAGCACCCCCTTTTCTGGGGTGGCGGACCACCGCCACCCCACGGGTCCCTCTCGTCCCACTCACCTCCGGTTCCGACGACGGGGGTCGAGGGGAAGCAGGAATCAAATTGAGTTTCATACTCGCAGGGACTCTCACTCTGTATACTGTCTGTAAGCTCATGCGCCCCGGTACACTCTCTCGTATCGCTCCGCACCTCTGATTTTAGGATCGGTTCCGGCCGTCTGATCTTTGCCGGCCTGTGTATCGACATTTTAAAGTCAGTAATCGCGTCGATCCTACGAGATAGAGATGCTTGGAACAGAAATTCTGCCATCCGGAAAATATGCGTAGATCTTGCTTTAGCCATTAATTGAATTATTACAAGGGACCGAAAAACTATAAATTCAGTAATAAAGAGTCTTTCTGTCTGCATATTACGTTATTTCGCGCTTCGTTTAATAGTTTGCAAAAGCAGAACTTGTACAAACATTATTTATATAAAGTACGGTTTTTATTAATATATATGTAGCCAGAGTTGAAAAAGATCGTCGTACACATTTTAAAATAGTAATTCCCTCAATATTTGTTTATACACTTACAGTGAATTGAGGACATTGATAATCAGCGCGTTTCAATTGTAGAGTGGAATCAAGCCGAAGGGGTTGACGGGGGTCGAAAAAGGAGGAGAAGACCGCTCGGTTGTGCGGCGGCGTCTGGACCGCGGATAATAGGAAACTGCCGGGGTATCTCTGCTAATCACGTTAAGTCCGGCAGACCGCTTTGTGCCCCGCGAACGAGCCACCGGCCGAAATTCCCAAGTCCGAAACTCATGACCAACATGAACGCAATCCCGCCAGTTTCTCCTCATTCTCACCCCTTCGTGCTTTCCCCATCCACGCTCTCGGCACAACGGACCATCCGGTAAAGCGAAACTGAAATTCAACCACTTCCACTTCGTTCTCATCACGCGTCGTGTACGTAACCGCGCGCTGAAAACTTACAAAACGGTCGGACGTAAATGTCGATTTTTTTTCACGGAGCCTGGCGATTTTGAAAATTTAGTCAGGCCCGTGAAATGTCTTATAACATTTCTTTTCTTGACGATCCTCAGGGAATGGGGAATATCAGAAGCAGTATCCCGTTCATCTCGGCATCGGATCACGCATTGGACTTCTTGTTTCGCCATGTTGCATACGACGAGGGTAGAGAGTGATGCGAACTTCCTCCGCCACAAAGTCCGGCACCATAAGCGTGTCATAACTTCAGACGGGCTTTCCGACTTGTGAATCTCATTAAAATCATTGGTGCGTGCTTTTCGGTTTCCAGGCTTCGCGCCGAGCGACCGACGAGTCTATTAAGATGACCATGTCCCCGTGATATTGCTCAGACATCAAGCTACACCACACCTCCGTAGCTCGGGTCGCCGAACTGTAGATACCTACTGTATTTTTCTGTTGCAGACTTTTCTTCGTTTATAACTAACGAAATGATGGCGTGATAAAAATATCGATAATATATATATATTTAGAATTTACATAAATTTGAGGTATATATTTGTTACAACCAAATTACAGTACATCACTTTAATATGTTATACTTTAATACGATATTTTTATAATTAACACTCGATAACAGCGTCAATAAAATATTACGCTATAAATTTACTATTGCATTTTCCAGTGCACTGATATTTGAGCTTTAGCACATATTCGCATAATATCCATTACATTATTTAAGATGACATTTAATCTCTTGTTTTTTTTATGCTTGTGGCTTGAACTTCGATATCGTAATACCTGATCACACATACATGTAGCAAATTTGAATAATAATCTTATCAGCACCCTTCGTTATCCGCAGGTAAAAGTATGTGTAAGTATTTATCGTAAATATTCCAAGTGGTAGAAATCCCGTGGGAGTCCGTATCGTCGTCGAGGAGCCGCCGTTATAAGAAGTACGCTTCGGGAAAGTTTTTAATGCGTTTTAAGGAGGATACGTTGAAATGCGTCCAACAGTCGTCCAGGAAATGGTGATAAATTTCTCGCGCGTATACTCAAAGCATATTTCTATGGACGCGTTGAAAGGCGAAATACCGTGCGATGGGCTAATGTAATTGGGCGAATAAAGCTCCGGAAGTGCTATCGATAAATTGCACCGTATCTCTTGAAGCACGCGAAAGGAAACTATCCTCCTTCGAGCGGACGAAGAACGCTTAGGTGCCCATCTTTTTTCCGCGGGGTCGATTAAACTCTTTCGCGGTCGGTGCAATAGAAGGTCGAGTGTAATTTGTAGAAGAAGGACCGACCAAAAAGGGTTGCTCCCACGAAAGGGGTTGGGGGTAGGGATAATGCGACCCTTGAGATGCCAGACCGCAGAGTGATCTACGATGGCCTATCACATCCTTCGTGTACTTATACCGTATCGGACCGCGCCTGGCCGGTCCGCCGCTATTCGCGGTGTAAAGGCAAAAAAGGGACGTCCGATTTTGCGGGCCGTAGAAATTAAACCACCGCGAAAAGTATGCAAATTCGGGCAAAAACCGAACCGGCACACTCCACTCCCGCCCTCATCCCGCTTGCTCGAGTACACCCGCCCCTTTCCGTCCGACCAAACCTCGTTACGTTCATGGCCCGGACCGCCAGACCGAAAACTCATTAACGAATGCAAACGAGGTAACGTTGTGGACAAATTTAATAAAATCGTGCACGCGCAATTAGTTTCGCCGGGAGTAAACACGTTCTGGTGAGCTATCCCCTTCCCGACGTGCAGAAATCCGCAACTTCTCGCCCTACCTGAAAATGATCGAAAGCTTGTAAAATTTTACAATTGCAATTGGTATGCATTATTTATAGAAACGTTGATGTGTCATTTCGATTGCTTTCTAATTTTTTTTATAGTAATCTTTTTACTGACACGTACATTTCTTAACATAAATTTAATTTAAGTATTAAAAAGTGATGGTCAAGAAAAATGAAATTAATGAATGATGTAAATCTTATTATCGATTAGGTAACAATATCTTACATATACAACATTTTTACAAATGAATGAAAATTATCAGTTAAATTTCTTTACGTTATATAAGCAAAACTTTCTATTTATCGGTATTCATCAGAAATCTTTTATTTTTAATAATTTGTCAATTTTTTTATTATTACAAATTTTATCTTTACATCTACTGAATATACATTTTCACACATAGTCTCTACTTATGGTATAGATCATTCTGTATACCTCTCAGCCCTTGCCAGACCCTAATACGATTTCTGTCCATATCCAAGAATCAGCATCTAAAGAAACCGTACTGACGTTGATTTATATGTGTCGAAAATCACGTTTTCGGTTTGCGGTCGGCATTTGAATATTATATTTGAATATTTTACGGTGACCATCAGTTTCGCTTAAAATATGTTATGACTTATAGTGAATCCTGGACATAGCAAATAGCAGCTTAAACTTGTGCAAACAACAATAATAATAGTTGCTTGTTACAATTTATTTAAGTTATATAAAATATTTTTGCAACACACATGTATTGTCTTAGTAAATTAAAATTTGCAATTGAATAACGTATGTTTATGTACATCTAAATTGATGTAACGTCTCTGAATAATTTTATTCAGCACGCGAATTTTATAGAATTTAAGAAAATTTTCTTTCGAAACGATTCTTTCTTTCTCAACATTTTCTCGATCGAACATAGTCAATCGTTACCTTAAGCATTACTAATTATCCGTAGAACGATATGCAAAATGTACCTACAACCAACAATCGTTGAACAAAGTAGTTTGAGAGAGAGAAAGGAAAAGAGAATATTAGGTATAGAATTTTTAACATACAATACATTTAATTTCATATTTGGCAGGCGGGATAACGTATTCTCAACGTTCGCCTTTGTTTTTCTTGCTGCGCGGCATCGTGTGACGATGGTTGTTTACGTGAAGGTCGTCGCGCTATTATTCGCTCGCCGAACCTCGAGCCGGCAAGTAGCGTCGAGAGTCGCTCCGTGCGTCGTATTACTTTTACGTTATTCATTTCCGAAACGCGATCGCGACGAGTATGGGAATAAAACTCTATCAATTTGTACATCTTTATCAGTAACAAGTAACGTTCATCGATTAACTATTTCTACAACTTGTAATGATAAACTGCACGTTGAGGCGACGGCTTTTTATCTACGTACATAGATACTTTACGGGACTAATTTATCTAATAAAATATAAATGTAAATCACAATACTTTATCGTGATTACATCTGGTTTACGTATCGCGCTTTGAATTATCTGTGGATTTTAGTGTAACCTGTCTTTCAATTTCGAGAAACGATAGAGAAATTTGTTGGCGTACGGCTTTAGTATTTGTGTTGTTTGCTGTATCTCGTTCTGTTATACTTCGTAGCTCGAAGAGGCAGGAAGTAAAGAAAGTCGCTACGTTGTATCTCGAATTGTAATCAAGAATTATCCTAGTTAATTGTTACAATTGATTGACTTCATTGTAGCGGGTATTTTGCTCGCACAATTTATTTCGCGTAAGAATTAAATTGACAATTCGGATTGTGAAATATCTTTTCGTCGCGGATTAATAACTGCTTCTTTACTTCAGATGCTTTGATTCCCGATACTCGCATCGTAAACTTAAAAGTGATTTATTCATTGCTACTTTCACATCAAGAATGCAAAATAACATGCGAGTTGCTGATTTCACTGAATTGCGTGACGAAAAGTCATACGGCACACGAATACTACTTTGTGCGTTTTGCGGTATTTTACGTCGCGTACGGGAGTGTCACGCGAAATTTCGCGCGATCGTAGTTAATTATTTTCTCGCGAGTGAATATTGTGTGAGTGCAACAAGGAAATCTGAGAGGAAGAGGAGGACTGGGAGGCATCGGACAATGGCGGAGCAACCACGCGGTGAGTGTATTATTATATATATTATTTGCTACTTGCAAAATTAATATCCACTCTTTCGTCTTATCTATTCAAATGATTTGAATATACATAAGAAGTGCAGTAGATCTACATTATGCAATAAACGGAATATTTATGTACATCGAATATATCGATGTGAAATAAAAATAAATTGTGGAAAAATAAAATAGGCGAAGAAAATTGACAATATCTGTTAATAGTTGATAGAGAGTGAGAGAGTGAGAGAAAGAGAGGCATGTAGCGCACGCAGTGCTGTTTTAGTAATATAAAGTTTACGATAATAATGAAAAAACTTGATGAAAAGCCAACAAGTAACTGATCGCAAGGAAGTAAAAATAATGTTAAAAATATTTTCGAAAAATTCGTAGGAAATTTATGACAAAATTTTTTTTCTTCTACCTTGGTTCGTCCAATGCGTTGCCGCAAATTGAATCTTCCCGTACGACAGGATACTTCATTATTTAGCAGCGGCTTCCGCCGGCTATTTGCAAAATTATTGTTACGGAATTGGGACGAGGGTGGCGTTCGAGCCACCAAAAGAAACGAGTTCACGTTCTTTTCCCAACCTCCATTTAGCTTCCCTCGTAAAGAACTGGAACATATATTCCTAGTAACGCGCATTTCTTTCGCGAGGCTGTATACCGTGAAACAATTGTACGAAGAAAATGTAATAAAGCTTACTTGGTATTTTACTTTGAAATTAAATTTATAAAAAATAAAATTATAAAAAAAAGAAGAAATAAGAACTTTTTCTGTAATATATTTATTCACATATAAAATACAAAAGCACTTTGAAATATCAAGGTATAAAATACAAGTCGAATTTACTTTTTTCTCGGTGAAAGATGAAAATTTCATAAAGTTCACGTACAATTGATTTATTTTATTGCATGCCACCGCGACATTCACGATTATTCTCGAAAATCCTTTACAACGACCATTTGCTTCAATCAAACAAGATTTCCGGCACATAATGGCAGCGATATGTCTTGCCATCGGGCGAAGACGGTCCTTTCGGAAAGGACACGGTTTCTTGCGTGCACACAAGCCGGCTAGATCCACCGGTGTCGACCCTGTCGACCGGAGGAGAATAAAACATTGCGGCTCGCCCCCCGCGAGACATCGGCGGATGATTTGTGAGTGGAAACAATAAGCGCCCCTTGCAATATTCATCACGAGAAGATCCCCCGTACAGTCCGCCGGAGTGCCGGCTGCTGGCACGTTCCAGCAAAAGAAGAAGAACTACCGGAACCAGGGTGGGGGATGTCCAGCTAAAAGTTTGATGGGTTACCGCGTACCCTAGGGAAAATGGCCGCAAGGCGCATTGCTAGGCACCTCGCGTGGCCGCGTCGCAGAACCTGAAGGATTTTGGGATTCTATCAAACTGGACAATGCAATAATGCGTCGTCCCCTTTCCACCGCTCTACGGTTATCACGTGAAAAATAGGCGTGCTGGGTGCTCCATCCCGCGGGATCATGTTCGGCAGGAACGCGTGATACGTTTAGTTTCGCGATACTGGATTGGCAGACGTAAAACGTAGCGCCGAAAATATATTTTTTCATCCTACTCGTTTCACTATTCCGCATGCATCGATTTTTCAGCGATAGTTATAGAAGGGAATGATTTATATTTCAACTACTTATATCCTCTTTGATAACAGGACTTTTTATTGATATCGCGAATCTTGCTGCAAAGACATTACGCTTACGTTATCTGTACAAGCTACATATATATATATATATATAAGTAGTTAATATCTCTGTATTTAATCATGAAAGAAACGAGTTATAACTTACATCTCGTACACGGTTCTAAAAGTCCAATATGTGTCCGAGGCCCATGGGGTTCTTCGCGGTCGTAACTATGTTCTTTCTCCATTCTCGGTTCTCAGAGACGAGATGTCGTTCAAACACATCTCGACCACGGGCAAACACAAATCTTAGATACTCCGGGACATTTTAAATTGGCCATTATACTATTTAACTTGAGGGACCGTTACGCACTGAGCCGAGGAAGGTCACAGGGTAGGAAGATCTCACTCGCGGTGCACAGGTTCCACACATGTAACTACCATTCAAACCAGAGCAAACAGCGTTAACCGTATTTGCCTACGTCCTTGGCGATCTAATGTCTTCACTCGTTGCCCAAAAGATATTAAAATTTCACGTCCACGACCGACGGATGAAAGTTTAACCGTTTGCTCCGTACTCGGTAAAATCACGCTCGAAAATTGCAGTTAATATCAATACGAAATTGTAATATTTCCATAATTTTTATAACTTTTTGCTCGACTGTGCCAGGGACAAAACTTTCTGTTCTTGGCTCGATCGTTCAACGCGACATCCTTAACTTTGGGCCGTCTTTCATTGACTGTGATAACCCACTGGGATTTCGACGTAATCTTGAAAGAGAATTCATAATTATCTTCACGGAGAATCTTCGATGGTCGAGTGCTTTCGGCTTCAGTAGTAAGGTAATTTCCTAGTCAAGTGATCAGAGCTTTATCTAAAGGTACACGCTATGTAGCCACAAAGTGTGTCTAGATCATTAATGATCAATTGAAAATTACAAGATAAGCTAGGGTAAATAGTCTACAGAAGTTTCCGCTACGCTTTTACGCTTAACTTACCGAGAAAGATGCGAGGAAATTGGCCAGTGTCGAACGTGCACCAGGAGCAAACAGAAGACAATGAGCCGAGGTTTTTAATCGAGTCTCCTGTTCCCCGCAGCGGAATTAACTCAAATTATACTGCACGATATCGTGCTCCCAATGCCGATTTAGAATTCATGCAGTCTTTTCAAAAAATCTCCATTGTGCACGGCGTAAGGGTAATATAACGACAACCGGCATAGCACGGATTGCCGGTGTTTTAAAAGATTTTCTCTTCATCACACTTATTTTACTTATAAAGATATGAACACAAATGCTTCGCTATCATTGTAGAACGATGGCTAACAATTATGAAATAAATTTGACAATTTAAAAAAGAGTTAATGGCACGTAATAAGTAACAATTTTATTTCAATTCTCGATTAAATAATAAGTAACTTTCTTTAAAATACATGTATCTATTGCAAAAGAGATATTTTTGTCGCGTGTACATACGTGAACGTCATATGTAGAATGAGTACATAAATATTTTCGTAATAAAGAAGTATTTTATTGTCGAAATAAAATGTTAATAAACGGTAAAATAAATAAATTGAGTCTCATAATAATACGTCGATTTTGCCGGCTATAAATGTCAACGATAAAATAGCACGCACTACGAAATGCAGAATACTGGTTTACGACGCGAACGTATACGAAACTCATAAAATCGCGACGGGCGGAAAACGAAAGAGGTCCTCCACGTCGGTTTCCATGGGACTGAGAAATAAAAATGAGTCTGTCGCTTCCCATATTAAGTGTAGGCAGCTACCGTCCAGGACACCCATGGGGCGCGAGCTGGATCGCAGCGACGTATTTAAATAAAACATTGTATCGCGCTGCAATTCACCCTCCTACCCTACGAATATCTGCTACCACGCCCTCCTACCAAATAAACAAATTAAGCTGCAACGGATATACCGCACTGCAGGGGCGACTTCGGTCCTTAACAAACTGCCCCGCATGTCCTCTTTGTAACGGGTATTTTCACTCTCCGAGTCACTGCTATTTCGCTTCGTAAGATTAGAATATCAACGGCCGTCCGTAAACTCAAATGAAATTGCATCAATGCGATGTACTTAATAAATATTCCAAGTCGTATGGATAAATTTTTGTCAGAATGTTGAGGATAGAAACGGTTATTTATGAATACAAAGTGAAGATTCGTTGCCTTTCAAAAATCATCCAACGCGATAGAAACGTGCGACTGGGAGTGGGGCATATTATAAGAAACGCTATATTCCTCAAGACGATCTGCTTCTTATAACGGTAAACGAAAAATAGTCAGTACGAAACGCCATTCACAACGACAAAGAAGCCGCTCGATGCGTCTCCCTGGTCCCCCGGGGAAGAGCAGAACGATTAATCAGCTGTTGGCGAGGCGGAGGAGAGCACGTCCCCGAGGATACAACGAAACTCGAACAATGTTTCTTTCCTTCGAACTGCGTGGTCGCTGGTGAATCGCGTGAAAACCACCGATTTTCTCGTGAAAGAAAGCCACGCGCATGAGGCCTTCGATGACTCTGCAATCGGTCCAAATATTTGACTTTTCCGAGTTCCACAAGAATGTTGGGTTGGATTTCGGTCAGGTACGCGCCCGTTGAGATTCTCTGGAGAGCGCGGATCATTGCGGTCTGTCGACTAAACGACATTTTTTTTGTCTACACACTGCGTTGCTTTGATACATTCTTCTTTTCTCAATTAGAATAAAATCAACCACTTCTGTGGACGATTCACGTAATATTTTATATCTGACAAGTAAATCTCTTACTACTCTCTAAAAGCCAATCAGTGGATTATTACTGAAAACAGTGAATATTCACTGATTCACACTGATTGAATAATTCAGTGCTGTACTCAGAGGAAAGTCCCCTGTTATGAGATAAACTTGTAATATAAGATAGCAGGGTTTTTGCTAAATTAATAGGCATCCTCTATTGGTTTCATCGTTAATTTATTGCCCTTGAAATGAAATCTGTTTAGTGGAAAATTCATCGTTAGATCGTGTAATCGTTGCGAATAAAGATTTGTAATTAAGTTTTGATGTTGAAAACCTGCTGTCACATATTAGAACCTTATCTCATGATAGAGGTCTTTCCTCTATAACTGTTTTCAGTGATAATGCACTGACTGGCTCTTAGAGAGTATACGTCGCGCGATGTAACATTCGAGTTGGCTACTTTACGCATTATTTTAAATATCCTTAGCCGCATGATAAAATCGCATACTCGCATGACGTGCAACGACTCGTACGAAACTCTCGGAAACGCGCGTCAGTTCTCATCAGCATGACCGTCACGAAAAAGATAGCGGCGAAACTCGCGAGCGAAC